TTGATATTTTAGACTGACCGGAGGCCGTATTTCTACAACACTCGCAACACTGTGACACAAGCGGTCGCTTATTACTAGGACATGTGCAAAAGCGTGCTTCTGACAAACATCGATGACATTTAGTATATGGACGACGATTAGCTTCCTGAGTAAAGTATGTAGCGAACAATTGTGGGGCTAGTACTGCATATTGTGTGAACTAGTTGTACGAAACTATAGGTGCGAGAAGTGTTTCGTCGAAACGAGCCACACTCTCTGGGGTGTGGGTGTTCATCCAGCCTGCCATAGTTATAAGGTAGACTATCATATCACCGATAACAGCCTTGTCGGCACTAAGGATAAGCGTGAAGTGCTACATATATCGAAAGCGCAACAAGTTTACATGCATAACATCAGCCGCAGAGTGAAACGTGTCACGCTTATTGCGCAATCACTGAACCTTCAGCAAAGGCTAGTATATCGCTGTCGTTGTCAGAGCTACCAACAGGGCGGTTAGTTTCCGTGGTCTCTACCAAAGACACAACTTACCTTTGATCGTTTCTGCCTCTAGGGTCTCAGGGAGTGGAGCGTGGCCAGAAGCGTGGAGGTCCCTTCTACAGTGCCATGAGTCTTCATACCGGTACCTCAACGGGAGAGTACAAAAACAGTGTTATTCAGTTGCTCGATCGATGCATTCTGTTGGTGCACTAGTTGTATCCGATTTTGTACACTGTTGGAAGATATCGCAGCTGGTATGTTAGCTGTTGCTGGAGTGGGGCTGACTGTTGCTGAGAGTTTACCAGTTGTTGGAGATTTGGGGTGTTTGAGGCTGTGGGTGAGTTAATTGAGGTGTTTGCTATACTAGATTTCGGGAAGATGTTAGGTGCCGGCGCCTGCGTAGGTGCAGAGCTTGGCGCTGTCATATCGACGATTGAGTGTGGAACGGGACGTCGAAGTTTCTTTGCTATCTCTGTTAGTTGCTCTTCGTGATAAGTGATGTCGCGAAGAGTATTTACGTGATTGAGTACACCAGTTGACCCTGTGTTAGTGGTGTTGGTCTCACCTGAACTGGTTTCGATTACACCTGTATCGGTGACGGTGCTGTCAGTGTTGTCAGCGTCGGGATTGGTGAATGCGCTAGTGAATGATTTGGATAACCGGTTGCCGAAGTTGATGCGAGTGCTGCTATCCTTGTTATTATCGGCAGTTTCCTTAAGTTTTCCAGTTATAGTTGCTTTGCTTTGCTATTAAATACTGTCGACGAGTGTGTGAGCGCGAGTGTTTTATTTATACGTATAGCATCAACTAAAATTTTACCAAAAAAAATCTATTATATGATTGTGCAGTCGCTATCACACTATACCCTCGTGCACTTGGCTTTCTAATCTCTATATCTAATCTCTATCTCGAATCTCTATCTCGAATCGCTATCTCTAATCGCTATCCTAGCTGTTTAAGCCCGGGGCATTTTCGAACTCCTGGAGTACAAGAAGCCGCAGCTTTAAACTTTTGTACAGTTGTGCCGTAAAAGCAAGAAAAATTGCTACACGCTTTGGCAAATATAGCATCTACTTTGCCGACTTAATTGCGATATGGCCTCCACCAGATTAAGCTTAGGTACCATCCAGCCCGCCCATACATAATTTCATTATCATTTTTTTTTCTGTCTCGAATTATACCACGGTGATTCAGTCTATATTATGTCCGATTTCACCTTGCAAAGGATATGCACTAACATAAACTTTCCAGATTATGCTGCAGTACAGTATCGATAATTGATGCATTGATGCACAATCTACCATAGAAAATTGCTTCACGATATAGTAGATGTGTCGCCTACTTTACCGACTGAAATGCAAAATGGCCTGCACCGGGTTTACCTCAGGTGCCTTCCAGCCCAGACATAATTTTATCAGCTGTAGTCTGTCTAGAAGTATATCACAATGCTTCAGTTTATTCTATGTCTAATTTCACCTTGCAAAGCAAAGGATACGAACGTACAAAAACTTTTTAGGTTATGCTGCAGTACGATATCGGGAATTGATACACAATTTTCCATGAAAAAAATTTCTAAACACAATACAAAATATAATACCTACTGTATCGTTTTAAATTTTGTTTCGGCCTTCACCGGGTTAAGTTTAGGTGCCTTCCAGCTAAGGCATAATTCCATCAGCACTTTTTAGGTCTAGAAACATCATGAGGATTGCAAAGGACATAAAATTATGCATATTTTGTTTTTGTTTTGGATTATACTGCAGTAATCACAATCTACGATGAAAAACACAACTTTTGTACAGTTGTGCCGTGAAAGAAAGAAAAATTGCTACACGCTCTGGCAATATAGCACCTACTTTGCCGATTTAAATACAACCTTCACTGGCTTAAGCTTAGGACGTAATTTCATGATCTTTTTTCCTGTCTAGCATTATACCAAAAAAATCAGTTTATAAATGTCAAATTTTACCTTGCACAAGATCTTTGAGCTTACAGTTTTTTTATAGATTATGCTGCAGTACGATATCGGTAATTGATGCACAATCTACAATGAAAAATTGCTACACGCTTTGGTAAATATAATACCAACTTTACCGACTTTTAACTACAATATGACCTCCACCGGGTTAAGCTTATATGCCTTCTAGCCCAAGCAAAATTGCATCCGCTTTTTTCTGCCTCGAAATATACTACGAGAAATCGTGTACGTATACACTTTACAACATGGAACAGAAACAAAATATAATAATAGTTTGTAATTGAGGTCTGCATATGCGTATTGTTTGAGAATGTGAAGAACGTATCTGTCAGTTGTAGCAAACGTTTTAATAGTATTTAAATGAATGTTAACCTTGCCACATCCTACACACAAGTTATCACAACAAACCAAATCAACGGATCAAATATACTAACGATCGTCAAACGTAAAAAGGACAGATTTGATGGTCTGATATTTAAGAGACGAGAAATGATAGAAAAACACTTTCATCTATTACGCACAGCTTATCTGACTGGATCTTGGTCCTGTTAAATTTCTCTACTTTCAAACTATTATTTTTACTGTATCACATCATGCTTTGATATTACTTGATCATAGCTTCTGTACAATAATTTACATAATTTATGCCACTATCTATAAGTTCGATCCTCCGGAGTGTTTTATATAGTAGTCTTAAGATATATCAGATCTAGTCTACAGCTGACAGTCAGGCCTTTGAGATACAAAGAAAACCAGATTATACACACTTCCATCAAATAGGCACTTCTCAACGTTCTAAATCTTCAAATAGAATTCGTCTCCCTTGAAATTTGATTCGAAATTTATCTCTATCTGACCGTTAAGGTAAGTGAAATTCATCGGCGCGTTAGTAAAATCTTTAATGCATGGGCGAGGATGTCAAACACTATGTTAGGGATTAGGGGTTCAATCTCATATTTTGTATTGATGAATATAGCAGAAATAGCACACAAAACTATCACACGAGGTGGCTTATGATTGAAGCGTTATTTGCCTTTGGCTTTTAAAACGATATAAAACATTGTCAAAACATAGTATAGGAGTGTTGTATCTGAAATATGTTGTCACACTCTGCTGTCATACAAAAAAGTTGTATTGGGACGAGATTGAAATCAAATGAGGTTAAAAATCGTCACAGAGTGAGAGAAAGCGAGAAAGTGAGCATATGAAGACCGGACTTTAAGGCATCCCAAGAATTTTTTTGGACCCGGATTGAAAGTCTGTTTGTTGGTGGCCCATTTCCCTCAATCCAAGGTTTTCACTGTGGTGGAAGGATTGCTCGATTTATAATAGGGCGGACGAAATTATGATGTGAGAAGTCCGACAGCTCTGGCAAGGAGCGAACCTCCGAACCATACAACTTTAGAGCATCTAGTTGTTAAAAAAGGAAAATCTTTCTCGCTGATAACGTAGCAACGCATTTCGTTGTATCGAAAGGAATTTGTTGGCTTGTCGGGTTCTAGATCTAATTTTGCCCCTTGTCGCGCCACTTGTCAGAGACAACGTCTCCTTACTGCAAGTAATTTACGCGTAGCATACAAAAACACATATGCCAATCTAATGCGTACATTTTTACATCGCGGCGTAGCATACATTAAACAATACGCCAATCTAGTGTGCACATTATTACATCGCGCAGTATGATAGGTATGGCGTGCACACCCAGAAATGAAGTAAACATAGAATCAAAATTATTGGTCAGAGGCGTGCAGGTACGCCCTCTATGAAATACTTTACACATTCCATTCGCATTCTTCATAAACAATTATAGTGTCCGGCTTTTTGTATGCACAATTACCTTGAGAATAAGCAGTGACAGGAACCAGGCATCAAATTGGCAAAGATAACAGACTTTGGCGACGAGTGTACGACACAGGAAGGCTGAGAGTACACGCAAAAGTAGCATGGTATGAGATAGTCTTTGCCTTGTTCAGTAATAGTATGGTTCACAGATGCAATTACTTTCATCAGCCAACAACAAGCATTTTATTTTGGGTTAGGGGTTTAGGGCTTTAGCTACGTGTTGGGTTTTAATGTCGAAATGATGATCGAATACGTTCGACCGGCTTCGCTTCCTACCGGCACATTCAATAAAGTATTGTTCGTATCAAACGTACTTTCATCATAGCCTGGTTCAGATTAGTGGGATATGTGAGAGCCTGTGATGTCGGAGATCAATATTTCTCATGAACACCTGGAAATTAGACTTATTCAGTTGGAGTACGAGCTAGAGTAATACCAACCTTAAACCTGGATTTGGGAATTGTAGGGTCGTGACTACGGTGGGTATTGTTACTAATGGATTTGTCGTAGCTTTGTGTGAGTTTCTGAAAGTTGAGGAAAATTCGATTGTTAAACGGCAGCTGTGGTGAACCGGTGTAAAGAAGAACATATGTGAAGTTGTGGTTGTTGCACTCCAAAATTAAATTACTATAATTGTAATACAAACCCACTAGCGGGAAAATATTGATGATATTGCTGTTCAAAAGCTGAACATTCAAAGAGGGAAAAACTATCCCCCAGCAGCTTACAAGCACAAGGGATAAGCTTTAGAGCACACTGTTTAACTTAGACATTGTCTTCACTCTGTTTTTCATCGGCTAGTTGGTACTAAGTCAATTGAAACGAATATTTGAAGACACATTAGTCGCGGGTGAATAGGCGAGCTTGCACAAATGTTTACACCTCTTGTAGATATAGCTCTCACACTGATTTGGTTGTTTTTACCTGAAATTCGTGCATGGCTACGCACGCCATAAACTGACAAGTAATCTCTTTCAGGTATGCGCTGTCACTCGTATATAATCAACTTAACGAGCATTTCAATAGCGACTGGCGGTAGGGATATACTCGATATAGGTATATGGAATTACAGCTCGGACAATACCAAAAAAGGGCCCACCGAGACTCCCGCTCATTATCCAATTGGCAGTCTTGCGCTCCTAGAAATTGTATCGCTGGTATTTTCGTTCATTGTTGAAAGGGGTTGCAAAAAAAAATGACACAGGCTACAGGTTGCCGCTACAGATGATATAGCAACTGTACTATATCAATTCGAGTACTTATCTACCCGTGCCATTGCCTCTTTTGTACGATAAAAACATGTCTGTTAGTAAGATTGTTCTACCCCTTTCTGACCTCCTACGTACTGGGTCACTATAGCACAAACTCAGGGCACGACTGGTGCTGTCTGCACTGTCTATTGATTCGAAGGTGGCGCACACTATTGGCACGTATTTGTCCAGATAACCAGGACTCGTTTACAACTTGATATTTGAAACTCGGGATGGTTATATGGTGGTCTTAAAAATTACTCAGCTAAGAGATATTTGCTCTGAAATAAGCAATTTTTGGTTCCCAGTTCTATTAACAAACAAAATTAAAACACAGCATTGGATAAGCACTTATTCAGTTGCGATCCTGACGCACTGTCCGTATCGCCATCGCACGATCGACCCCGGTCCCAGACAATAAGCAGTGCATCGGAATTTATTTGACTCTATACACTCCGAGTTTACTCAAAACTATCGGTCGTATGCAAATATATATATATATATATGCTAAACATCTTCATCCTCGAAAACAATACGTGGGGACCCAATATTTTGAGCCAGAGAATAATTCTAAAATAGAAAATTTTATTTAAACTTTTAGTTTCGTTAACCGTTTGTCTGGAGATACGGCTCGTCACTAATTGCAATGCCTCCCATGCTGGTCGCCAAATGAAAGCTACAGAGATATAAATTCATCTCCAACTGAATATGGTATCCTGTCTGATTGCCATTTTTTCTGAACCAATTTTCCACTGTCGGCTCGATTCTGACATGACTATCGTTATTCCTCGTGCCAAAAATAACAAAAACTGCTACAGACAGAGCATATGTACATTTCACACATCGCTTATCTTCCGGAATTAAAGCCCTTCTCTACGAAGTCGCCGATCTCGGATTGCACTTTAATCATTACCACAAAATTCTCATCCCCAATATCTACATGTTTGGCCTATCAAATATTCAACTGGCGGTTTGAAATTAGCATTTTTTTTCTAGAACAGTGATATCCGCCACGAACTGTAATTAGGTATACAGTTGTCATGTATTGCCAACAGAGATGTGATTTTAAAAGTCAGAAGGTTTGCGTGAACGGCCCAAAGGCCAAAATGGTTTGTAGCAACTACATATCAAATTTGCAGGCCCGGCACAAATGGCTAAAAGGGTAGGCTTTTAGAATTCGATGAATCGCAATAGTTGTTGTCAAGGATTGCTTTTGAACTATCGTATGGTTCACACGCTTCGATATATATATATATATATACACACACACATATATATATATATATATATATATATATATATATATATATATATATATATATATATATATATATATATATATATATATATATATATATATAATATATATATATAATATATATATATATATAGTACGACATATATATATATATATATATCATACTATATATCTATCTATGTATATACATATATACATATACATGTACGCATATATACGTATATATATATATGTATTTATTGGAGAGGGTTGTCATGCTACTGCTTTTACAGCGATATTACCAGTGTCTTTACAACAACAAATGAACATTTGGTGACGAGTCTGGTGTATATCCTTCACAACATTTAAATTAGATTATCCATTGCAGCCACAAATAATGTGCTCTATTCACACACAAATCACTAGCCAATTTCGGCAAGACACTTGGCGACATTGTATACGACCATCCAACAGACAACTCTATCAACACAGCCTACAGGTATTCACAAAAGCCAGTGACATAGTGGAGTATGTCTAGACGTTGGCCAACATTTTATGTATCAAGCCATTGCAGAGGCATGAGAATGAAGCGGAGTGTCGACAAGAATAGTAGAGAACGAAAATTGCTTCGCCTGTGAGTATTTTAAACTGTTCAGCCAGAGAAGAGCTGCGCACACGAAAAAGCTGTAGTATTGAGAAATCTAGGCTTCTCTGCAATGGAGTGAACTGGTAGCAGGTGAGAGCGATGCCAGGACATCACTATAGAAGAGATATGATATATCGATGTCAATATGACTATATATGTCCATGAAAATACTATATGTATCCATGGTTTGCTTGTACAGTTCGAGTGTGTGCTTGAAATTGACACGTCTGAGTTTTGAACCCGCAGAGAGATATAATCAGGAGGCATTGTTGATTATACCGATCCCAGCGGTTCATACAGAATAAAGTATCCAGTAATCACTGGTCTGTGCACAAATTCGAGTAATAATTCATAACGTCACTCAGCATCGATTAAGATTACTGGTGGCTTAAAATTATAGAAGTTTGCGAACAGCTCAGCAAATTTCAATGTTAGGAAAAATCAGGCCACACAAGATACCGGAAGGCAATCGAAATTAAAGTTCTAATAAGTTTGCGCAAAATTACAGGACTACATACCGACGACACTGCAAATAAAGTAAAATCACTGAATAATTACATGATATGACTGATTTATGCCTTTTAATTCGAAAGAAGGAATTAATATTATCTATTGACAACATTTGCTGACGCCAGTTTGTTCACCGGCTCTACCCGCTTGCTGCGATGCTTGTCCTTGTGGACCTAGCTTGATACCGTTAGACTATAGAAACAAGGGTAAAATTACAATGAGACGAGTCAGCTACAAGGTTCTAAGTAAGGGAATGGACGAATCCGCATTCAGCCAACGAGTATGTACAGCGAACCAGAATTTAAAACGCAATTCAACAGATTCAAAACGATTACCTCATTAGACAAGTCGAATTCTCCTGACTGAATTTTCGTATATATGTGTTTTGCGGTGTTGATGAAGGCCTGAGGAACAAAGATGAGAGAATCAGCAAACCAATACCATCTACGCCTTTCAAAATCAACAAATTGGTCAAAGCTAGATGAATGCGAGTATGATAGCAGATACACACCTCCTCGACATTCTCAGCTGTTTTAGCGGATGTTTCCAAAAACACCAATCCGTTTTCTCTGGCAAATTGTTCACCTTCCTCTTTGGACACTTTTCTCTTCGACTCCAGATCAGTCTTATTTCCGATTAGCATAATAGCCATATTAGGACTTGCGTGCTGTCGAGCATCCTCAAGCCAAGTAGTTAAGTGGTTAAATGTGTCTCTTCGCGTAATATCATATACGAGTAGCGCACCTGCAATTGATAACAGGAGACTTAATGAATATATACGCCGCAGACATTCAATCCACCAAGCTGATTGAATCTAAAAGTAAGAGAACAGCAGGCGGCATATAATATCGGCAAATATGGCGATTATGTATGTATATGTATATATATATATACATACATAATCGCCATATTTGCCGATATTCGAATGCACATTTGTGAATCAACAGCCCTTCTCCCATATTTCACCAGCATTCAGAAACGCAACTTATTTAGAACTATCTCCAGATCACAGAGGGACGACAAAACTGGAAATAAAACGGCCATTTCAAATTCTGCTAAGGCAGCATATCGCACATAAATATACAACCAGGGCAGCGTAAACTTTCAACTATAAACAAAGGGTACTCTTCTTTCTCTAGTCTATTATAAAGTGGCGACACATACCTGCAGCGCCGCGGTAGTACGATCTGGTTATTGAACGGAACGACTCTTGACCAGCCTGACAAGGGAGATCCAAATAGTCATAGTGAGTTGACACAGACATCAGTGCACCATAGAGTATTCAGATCAATAATTGATAGCGAACCATAACAGCTGCGAATTACAAACAGACACAGCATGATCATGTTGTGGTACTTCGGCATATGGGCGGAGACATAATAATATAAAAATATATATATATATACCATAACCTATACATATATATATACGGCGCAATCGAAAAACTTCAACGTAAGAGCGTACATACACAACTTGATGTCGTCGACAAGTACTGATATACAATATATGTTAGTCTGAGTAGTCGCTCATATGTCAAAAAGGCAAAGTCCTACAAAACTTTAAAATACAAATATTCCAGTGTTTATACAGGTTCGATATAATTGGGAGTACGGAGATTTTACAGCAGCGCAAAATACAATGTGTTCGAAGCTCGATTATTCCTCATTTGAAGTCAGCACATAATTATGCAACACTTATATAATAGTATGACCTGGAATCTCCCAACGGATAAAAAACCCATTTAGGTATATATTACACACAAACAAAGCAACTTAGGACAGGGATTTATCGATAACTAAATAAATGTGACCGTATAATTGTAGCTCCGCTATTGCGTTCATCACAACTACTTGTGTCTGCTCACTGACAGCGCCACAAGAACTCGCACGTAGCATAGAATGCAACCGACTTAGATAACAATAGTCGCGCTTTCACGAAGTAAACAATTTGCAGAACAGGTAGTGTTATACTTGCAATACTACTTAAGTTATCGAAGATATCAACTAAGCTGTCACGAATTGCGTAGAACTCTGAGTACACTGCGGATTATGCCGAAATGACATCGGCAACACCACACAGTCAACTCGTTGCGAATAGCAGTGAACACATATAGCGACACGGAGCAAAAATGCACACGGCAAATAGAAAAAGTAAATCGATCCAAACCCGACGACGCCGACATGACATTACAATAAGAAATTCTCAGTGAGCAGGTCCAGCAAAAACGAATAGAGGGGAGCGTAAATATAGGCAGCAGTATGCAAACATAAAGTGTTATGGTTGTCTCGTTCATGCAGGCGAAATACACAAGATACTCACCTACAATGTTACTACAATATATTGTTTTGACGCTGGGAACCGGTAACAAACACTATACGCTTATGGTGTATTGTCGCTCACACAGACGCTCGAGAATAAAATCCGGTGAGACGAAAAGAACAAGTAATTACCAATATTTGGAAAAGGGGCACACACAATATGACTAGAGAATATATGGATACATGTCACAACTGAACATTGCGATAAAAATAATCAACTA